ATAAGGCCAAGCACAATAAAACAAGGCATGCCTGTACCGTTTTCTCGGCTTTTCCACATCTATACAAACTTCTACCCAAAAAAAAAAAAAAAAAAAACAGTTAAATACTTTACAGGGGCTTCCTATCATGCTTTTCATGGCATCCAAAGCCCTTCATAATCTTGTCCTCTGCGACTGCATCTCCCGCCGTCTTTCCAGAAGCTCCCTCTGCCCCACCCACGCCGGTCCTCCTGCCCTCCCCTCGGCTCGCGCCCAACATGCTTTGTCTGCAGGGCCTTCACACTTGCTATTCTCTCTCCCCGGACAGCTCTTCTCTCAGATATTTACACGGCTTAAATTTAGTTCTCTGCCCAAATGTCACCTGATCAGAGAAGTCTTCCCTTTCTGTCCAAAGAAAACAGGACCCACCCCATCACTCTATTTTCTCTATAGTGATTATTTTTCCTCATAGTACGTATTAATACCTGATGTTAAATTATCTATTTTGTTTGTTTATTCACTGCAGAGCACAATTCCACAAAGGTCAAAGATTGTTCTGTTCTCCCCGGCATAAAGAACCAGTCCTGCCATGTAAAACCAAAACCAAACACACAGCCATCATCAAGTCAATTTCAACTCATAGCAACCACCTTTAGGTTTCCGAGGTGGTAAATCTCTACAGAAGCAGATTGAGTGAAAGAACATCATTCATTTTCAGTACCCTTATTTGGATACTAAATTATCAAGAGTTCCTCATAACAAGAATTCCTAATTAGCCTTATTAGCTAATGTTATTTCTCAAGTCCAGAAAACTAAGAAGTAGTGACGTGACTCACTAAAAATGTGAAGCAAAACACACATATTCTTCTGGGAGAACGATTCTAAGATATCTTCCCCCTGGTAGAAATGACAAGAAAGCTGACATCTAATATATCCATGGCACAAAAGATACTTGAGCTTTTTAAAATATGCTTATGTTTTTATCATCTGTACCTCACCCTCAAGCTGAACAATCTTTTCATATTTTCTTAGGTTAACTTCCATTTATTTATTTCATTCAACACATATTTATTCACATGTACAACGTGTCAGGCACTGTGCTAGACATTGGGGCTACTGGAGTGACCCAGACAGAATTAGGATGGCTAATTCCAAGCAGGAAGAAAACAAAGTCCCTCTTACCACTTTAGCTTAAGAGCCAGTATCTGGAATATGAATGGATTGTGAAAAATTTTATGATATCTATGTTGTAATTAATAATGCTGGCAACATAGTTTATTATCACACATCTAGACACCATAAAATATGTGAATATTTTTCTATTCTTCTCAGGCCATGGTTTTTTAAATTTTATAGTAACAAACCGGGAATACTATTCTGATAACTAATTGGATACTTTCCTAGACATAACTGAGCAGTAAAATCGCCTCACTGCATCCTGTCTTCGAGCCACTGCCACCCCTTCCATAAGACAGCACTGTCATAAATAGATGCTTCCTTAAATCCAAGTGAGTACTCTATTTTGCTTTCTCATGAAAGCCTAATAATTTTCACATTTCTCTTAGTAATAAAGATACAAATGTAAGCAGTCAAGAAAAGTGCTAGGGTCTAGAATTCAGTGTTATAATGGCATTAACTGTCGCACATCTACAGTGTGTACAAGTATGCTAGGGTGATTAGATTATTATCATATCCACTCATTAAAAAGAAAAAGTCTGTGTGAAAAGCAGAGATAAGGAAAGCCAGAGTGAATTTCCTGCACCTGTTATCTGAGTATCTGGCATTCTAAACAAGTTAGAGCCCCAGGAAGCCAGATTACTAGATGACAGAAAAAAATGCACTATCATCTTCGACATGCTAATATACATGGGTGTTGGAAATCCACTGAAAGAGGACTGGCTTATTAGGCTGTGGCATGCTACAATTTACGGATCGCACCCTCCAGATGTGAGGGGTAAATGAGAACGGAGGCTGTGCGGATCAGCAGGGGATAAAGAGGGAAATATGCCTGTGACTCTGGCTATCAACTGGGCCAAATGAAGAAAAAGGGACACTTAGTTACATGAGTGAGTTTGAGTTTTTCCTAAAATAAATCTGGGTGTTGTTACTCTTTGGCTACATGGGGGCGGCCATGAGGACCGCGTGCCTCACCCCAGTCGGGTGTTCTGAGCGTAGCCCTGCTGGCTTTCCAGCAGTAACGGTGAGTGTAGATACCAGAGTCTAATGTGTGGACGCTGCTGAGGGTGCAAGGGCAACAGGATCCTTATAGAAAAAGGTTGACCAACATTAACAACAAGAGCTCCCCAAAATGCTCATCAGTCTTATGGAGTCAGCTAAGAAGAAAACAACCTCGTCTTTAGGAAAATGAATTCTGAATATTATAGCGTCTACATTATGCTCCAGTTCCACATAAAATATTAACACATCCAAAATGTGAGAGTTACATTTCTTATAACCCATTGCCATCAAGTTGATTCCGACTCATAGGGATCCTGTAGGACGGAGCAGAATTGCCCTATAGGATTTCTAAGGCGGTCATCTTTACAGAAGCAGATTGTAACATCTTTCTCCCACTAAGCAGCTGGTGGGTTTGAAATGCGAAATTTACGTTACTAGCAGAGTGCTCTAGCCACAGCACCATTATTATCCTCAACCATTACTCTCGCTCTAGATGTCCTCATACATGCTTATAGCCTTTGATAACTTTCAAATGTTTAGAAAAAACAGTATGTTGGCATTTAACTTAGTTAATCTTTAAATTCCCTGTCTCCCAGATGAACAATGTTGATAAATGGAACAGTCAAATGAAATACAAAAGCTGGGAGCCACAGCCAAGTGATAATCCTCAATGGGAATTTTAGCATTTCATATTTATAAAGTAAATACAGGTAGACCTAAAATATATTTCAGTGATTTATTTGCTCTACATATAAGCAGAAGGAGCTCCAAGGGAATAGTGGTTAAGGCATTCCGCTGCTTAGGAAAAAGTTAGTGGTTGGAACCCAAGAGCTACTCCATGAGAGGAAGATGAGACAGTCTGCTTCCGTAAAGATTTACAGCCTTGGAAACCACATGGAGCAGTCCTACTCTGTCCTATAGGGTTGCTAGGAGTTGGAACTGACTCTATGGCAAGGTGTGTGTGTGTGTGTGTGTGTGTGTGTGTATGAGAAAGGTCTCTTTGACATTAAGCTTTTCATTATGGAGGATTTAAAAATACATACAAGGCAAACAGAATAGCGTAATAAACCCCAAAGTATCTATCACACAAATTCAACAATTACTAACATTTCCAATTCTGGTTTCATCCATACCTTCAACTACTCTTCACTCTGTTATTATTATTTTTACATTTTTTTAAGGTAAATTTTATATACATTGGAGTGCACCACTATTAAATGCATGATGTTGACAAATGAATTCATCCGTGTCAACTGTATCACAATATGGAACATCTCCACCTCCTCAGAAAGCTCACAGTGTCCCTTCCACGCCAGACTGTCTGCAGAGCCCGCCAATGCTCCTCCCAGAGACACAGGTTTTCTCCAGCACTGATGAAAATCAAAGAAAGCCAGCTCCTCCAGGCCAGCGCACTTTGTATTTCAAGCTGCATAAAGGCTCATCATAATCAGCATCCTACAGGATCAACAGTGTAGGAACTTGACAAGCAAACGAAATCCAAGTCCCATTCTCCTTACAGAGAATATCCTGGCAGAATCTCAAGGGGAAAGAAATGAGGGCTTCAACAACCCAGAACAAAAAGCCCTACTTCTGAAGCCATTTATCTTTTCATTTAGCTCAACAGTATCCCAAACAAAATTAAACCCACTGTCATGGAACCAATTCAGACTCATGTGCGTATGAAACAAAATTACAGATCCATAAATACAACCTGGGAAATAAATAGTAATAATAAAAAGTGGCAAACTAATAGCAGCAGTAGTATTATAATGGGATTTTTATCTACCCAGACAATGATACATGCCGGGCAGACCCATGAAATCCTCAATCCTTGCTCTGCAGAGAAGCAGGAACAGCAGTAATGGCAGCAGGAATACTGGTAATGATACAAAGAGCAGCTAGTAAAATGGAGGAGAGGGATTCAAAGCGGGTTACTCCACTACGGGCAATACAGATACACAGGCACACTGTTTACACAATATATAATGTCATATATAACCTTATGCCTACTTCCGTCTTATTTTCTATCCTTGCTGCTTCTTTCAAGCAGGTAAACCCCTATCCTCTCCCCCAGAAGGCCTCACTTTAGCCCAGAGAGAAGAAAATTCTACCAAAACTTCTGCCCTCTTGGAGAAGGGTGGCTGAGGAAGCCTCAACCCTCCCTTCCCCTTATCCACCACCCCCACCCTCAGGAAGGAACCCGAATTTCTAACACTGAGGAGAGTCAGCGAATGGGCTAGATTCCCCAGAGCTGTGTGTGACACTGAGGGTCTGTGGCCTTCTCCTTTTGAACTCGGGCTCTTTCCAGGTCACCTGTGTGGCAACAGGGGCAAGCAGATAAACATCACCACTGGTGACTGACGGAGCTATGGGTGCTCTGCCCCTGGGGCGTGGCAGCACGCCACTCGGGCTGGGCCTAGGGGCCTAGCCACATTCTTTGCCATGATGAGGCTGACAACGTGATCAACATTTGGGTCTTGTGTCTCTTTCCTAAACGAACTAGAATTGGGGGAGGAGAGCTGTAACCAACTAGGTCCCTAACTTCCAACAAGCTATGGTCTTCATCATTTGTCTCAGCTCATGGTGTTTCCTTTTCAACGTCCCTCTAGCTGTACCACTGAATATAAATACGCCAGGGTGGAGAGCGGAGTAGAGGGTGTTACCTTTCCTCACACCCTGGCTACTTAAAGGAGGTTCACCTCCTCAGTCCCAGAGGTGTACGAGCTGCTCCTCTCCCCCACCCCCAGCCCTCCTCCCACCACCACTGCCACCCCTATGACGTGCAGGTGACAGGTATTCTAGCGCACGTGAACCAGCCCCAGTGTCTCACCAGCTGCGGCTACCTTGTTCTCCTCTGGAGTGAAGAGGATTCGGAAGGTGGATGGCACTCCAGGTGCTACTTTGTGGCTAATATCTTTGGGGCTGATTACTTTAAAATAAGGTGAACTTTCCTCAATGACTTTGATCATCCTTGGAATCTGCAAGAAAGAATACACTGTGATGGATGTCGTGCATATGGAAACATAGAAGGAAAAGCACAGGATTGGGAGTTAAACACAGACTGAAATCTCCAGCTCTTACTTAACGACCTGTGTGGCCCTGGTCAGGCCTGAGCTTCAGTTTCCTCAACTACAAAGGGAGATGACAGTACCTATCTTTAGCCCAGTGTCCTACACAAAGTAAGTGCTCAATACATTTAGTATTAATTTTTATTAACATTATTATGATCGCTTATTATTATTATTGCAACTCTTTGCTCCTTTTATTACTTAAATGCAACCATCTTCAAAGATTGACTGCTTAATCAGCTGAAAAGCCCACCCAGAGAGCAGAGTTCTTCTGGATTTCCCCCCACAGGCAACGAGATTGCACTTACTGCCCCTTACACTGTACCACACGTGGCTCTAAATCCTCCCAATAATCTGTGAGCTTTGAGGGAAGGGAAGGGGAAGGAAAGAAGGAAAAGAAGGGGAGAAGAAGAGAAAGGGAGAAGGAAGAGAAGGAAGGAAGGAAAAGGTTCTAAGGGGCAGAAGACTTATCCATAAATTATGACAAGAAGTCTCAGATGAAAAATGAGGAGAGAACGCCCTCAACCACTCAAGGCTGTAACCCAGGCAGGGAGGAGAAGAAGAAATGCAGCAAAAGAATTCAGGCAGAGACAATCATGAGACTAGACACTGGAGAGACACCAAGAGATACATGAAGTCCTGATAGGAATGGAATGGGCTTGCTGGGAAGGGGTGGAGGCAGTGGCATTTATGATGTGCTGAACGATGCTGAGTAAACCTGCTGGGAATACTTCTAGTAAGAGTGTCACTGTGGATTGGAAACTGGAAAGAAAAACAGCAACAGACACTACAAAAGCAGTAACAATTCACCCAACTCTTCACTTACCAACATGATTAGGTTCCAAAAGCCATGTTGTTATGTGAAAATTAGCATCATACAAAAATAGAGGCTCACTACATCAGATCACAAAATGGAGGATGACCGTATCACTGTGTAACTGTCAAACCACTGGGAATCATGGCCCAGCCACACTGACACATGACCTCAACCATCACAGACAGCAACACTCTCACCTCACACCTCAGCATTCATTACTGCAACATGTAATCTTTAATCCATAAAATAGGTGGATAGAGTTTTTACTATTGTTGTAAATGCAAAATGTCAGACGCCAAGGCTGTCAGTAATGAGTAGGTGTATTGCATTAGTGCTTACTTTGTGACAGGCACTGAGCTGAGTATTTTATATCATCATCTCACTTAGTATTCAAAACAGTCCTTTGAAATGGATACTATTATTACCCCATGCCTTGGTGAAGTGGATGGCACAGCTGTTATCTGAACCCAGGCTACTCTAACTTTGGGGTTTGGGTGCTTATAATTGTAACCCAAGTAGAATTGTGTTGTGGCTTATAGGATGATCGTGGCTTATTCTCCCCTGTATGTGTGAAAGAGACAAATTAATGACTAAACAGGCTGACTTTTGTACTCCATGCCAGTGAGAAAGCAGATAAACAGGAAATGGCACATAAGGCTTCTTAGTGCTCCAAATCTGACCCAATGGTTCCTTCTGAGACCATGCTCTAAGACAGCAGAGAAGCTGGCTTACATCAGCCACCACGAACTGGGGCCCTGGGAGTAACTCACTTAGGAATAAGCCTGCCTTGCTGAGAGAGAGCTATCTGCTTGTTAGTAGCTGGACTCTCCCTTTTCACAGGCGTCCTCCAGCATTCTGGCTGCATCTTACCAAGAAGTTACCCATAGGAACCAAGTGCCCTATGACGGACAAAACTTCCACATGCCCCTTGCCTTTCATCTGCCCGATACACCTACTGACCATCATTCCTTGTTTAGGGTCAGGAGTTCCTTTGGACTAGCTCCTCTGCACCTTTCATAAACCTACAAATATCTGAGCAAGGGTCAAACAGTAACAGGGGAAGGGAAGAAGAGAATTGGAAATGAGAAGGTGAATTGGCTGGCAGCCCTATGGGGAAGGACAGGAGTCCTACTGTCTATAGAACATACCTCTTCTCGTGGTCTAGGAACACGACCCTGAGTACCTCTAGTTCCTCTTCTCTTCTATGCCTGCCCTGTTAGCATCTGTCCCAAGAGCTTCTCTTGCTAACACTGAAGCAAAGAACTAAATGTACCATTTTCTCCAGAGTCTGACTTTGCTGTCACTAAATCACCTCATTGATCTCCGAAAGGCCTCACTGATTTCCTTTAATGAGCTACTACACTGAAAATAACTGCAAGTCTTCCCATTTGCTTTGGACTGTTGCATAGTCTACTTATTTTCTCTTTTTAATTGCAGTTAGACTTCTGTCCCCACATCTTTAGATTTTCGTGAGTATTCCTAGTTGTCTTTACACCTGAAGTTGAGGTCTCTCGGATGCCCTCTCCCCCCTGATTACTTCCCATACTTAACTGTGCTCCGGCTTATCTTCTGGGTTATTCTTTCATTCCTGTGAGACGTCAAGGAAACCCTTAGGCATTTAATATCTCTTTTTGAAATAAGCCCTAAGTCATCCTTAAGGACAAAGACAGAGGCTAAAGAAGAAATTCTCAGTTGCAAATACAAGGAGAAAAGGTATAGGCAGTGGAAGACACTGTCCAAACTATCTGCAGACAAAATCTGAAACTGTATGAGATAGGAGAGGAGACAGAATAGGAGGGAAAAGATTTACTTTTTTTTTCTTTTTAACAAGAAAAAATAAATTAAAAAAAAAAAAGATTTTGCAGAATTTACTTGTGTAAAGGCATTGGCTCAGTGATTGCATTTCCTGTGAGTAGAGTCCAAACCTTAAATTAGGGAATTGCTAGCACTAGTGCAGAGTATGTAAACATTAATATAAATTGCCTCGTCTTAAATGAAAGTCTAACTCAACTTGTCATATGTGAAACCTTCACTCCTTCCATCTAGTCAATCCTTTATTCAACAGACAGTGCATGTGTGGGAGAGTTTTCAAACACTGTTTTTGGGCACTCCTCTGTGGGTGAACACATAGTAACCAAAAATCCAATATAGCCTTGTCTTCATTGAGCTGACAGTCAAAGGATATTCTTCTTCAGACTATTTTCTTAGATCTTTCCAATTTAAAACTCATGTAAAATTCTATGGGGTCCAATCTTATTTAATCCTTTTTTATGTATCCTGGAAAGGTTCAGTCATCCCAGCAAATGTACTTACTTTGTCATTGTTCCTCAAAACCAGTGGAACTTCATAGACTTCACAAGGAGTATAGTTCTGAAATATAATTTCTGATGGAAAGGGTTGGAATAATGCCTGATCCAGGTCAATTCCCGAAAACTGCAGTTCAAAGAGGAAATTAATCATACAGTCATACGGTGGCAAAAATGACTAGACAAAGAAAATACTAGCTAGACCAATGTATGTCAAAACTAAGAACACAGGACACATTCTAAAAGGGCTAACCATGATAAACCTTAATAATCATAATTAGTGATGTTATTGTCATGTTATCAACTTCTTTAATACAAAAGAATGTAGAAACTTGGGACTTCAGTTTTTGTTTTTTGTTTTTTATAAAAAAGGCTAACAACACCAACCCCAGGTTTCCATTTCTGACTATGGTGAATGAGGTAATTTAAACTAACTCTCTCATGGACAAAACCAGAAATGCGGGATCAACAAACACCCACTTGGAAGCACTGGAGAACTAAGAAGACAGTGAAGAATTACCAGCCAGACTCCAGCGCAAGACCAAGAACTGGGTTGGGAGATGGAGGCAGAGAGGAGGGTGTGTGTGACGTGAAGACAGAGAATTGGGCTAATTTCTTCCTGTGTGCTTTACAGAGGATGGCTGAGATCCTGAGCAGCATCTCTGAAAGCCTAGCAGGGTTAGGGAGAGAGGGACTGCAGTCCAGAGCATGTCTATGGTAACGACCTTGAAGGACTTCCCTTTCACTGGCCTCTGAAGGGATGCAACACAGAATAAGGACGAACCGGTGGCAGACGAGAAGAAGAGAACATCATCACAGGGAGCAAATAATTTCTATAATTTTTCAATTATAAAATGTTACAACCACAGAAAGCTTTGCAACAACAAAAATTTGCAAATTAAAAAATGACCAGGAATGAGGAGATAATTATTAGTGAAAAACCGGCAGAAGCAAGAGACAGCAGAAACAGGGTGATACAATTCATACTTTCTATGAATTACAGAAATAAAAATATTTTATTTTAGAAAACAAAAGACAAGATTGAAAATTTGGACAGAAAATTGGGAATATTTTTTTTAAAAAAAGAATGAAGTGTAAATTCTACAACTTAAAATGATAAAACCTAAAACTAAGAATTCAGTGGATATGTCTAATAGCAGATTAGCTATAACTGAAAACAAGAATTACTGATCTTGGAGACAGGCCAGAATAAAATAGCCAGAATGAAAGAGATTGATAAAAACAAAAGAAAATACAGAAGAGGGATAAGATATATAGATGATACATCAAATGGTCTGACACAGGTGTCAGCGGAATCCTACAGGGGAGGCTAGCACAGACACAATACTTAATAAAATAATGGAAGAGAATTTTCTAAAACTAGCAAAAACCTTAGACAGATTCTATTTATTTATAGATTTATTTGTTTA